GCCATCCAAATCAAATGGAAAACTAAATCATGGGCATATAATAAATAATAAATTAATAATAAATGATGAACTAAACAAACAACCTGGGTCATCTCTCTTGGTCTCTACTGACTGTAGCCACTGTTAAGGAATTCCACTACTTTTCCCCCTTCTAGCTATTAAGTGTTATGACCAAACTTGCATAACCATCTCCTCTTCTGCTCTTAGATAACAATTTTTTTTTGGTTTCTAGCTCCACTTTTTATTTACTTTCCTTTTCAAATATGTATATTTATTATCTTTCAATAGATGTACAAAGGAGTTGTCATTTAACGAAGCAGTTTATGAATATAATGCATCTTGATTCATGTCATCCCTTTTAACATTCTCCTCCATCCCTTCCATTCCTACTCCTTCAATCTCTTTGCTTAATTTTGCAAGTTATACATTGAATTGATGACTGCTTCCCTCTCCTTCTGACCCTTTCCCTTTGACTGCTCCCCTTTCAAGTACCTACTTCCTGGTGCTTATTATTTTTTAACTGTGAGTTAGCCTGAGTTCTCTCTGAATCTACCATATTTCAATTAATACACTCAAGCATTTTTTGAATATTATCTTATACATCATGATAAAAAAATTGCAAAAATTTCTGAACAAGCCTGGTACTGGTGGTTCATGCGTGTAATCCTAGCCACTCAGGAGGCTGAGATCTGAACATCATGGTTCAAAGCCAGCCAGGGCAAGAAAATCTGTGAGATTCTTATCTTCAATTAACTGCCAGAAAACTGGAAGTAGCATTGTGGCTCAAGTGGTACAGCGCTAGCCTTGAGCTGCAGAACTGAGGGACAGTAAAAAAAAAAAATCCTGAACTAATGAACAACAACAACAACAAAACCTAATGCATCTCCACTAATTTTCCAAGAATCTTGTTTGCTTTCTATCTGTCTTATTAGAACTGGAAAAGTAAAAGGTGCCAGTGGCTCACACTTGTAATTCTAGCTACTGAGATCTGAAGATAGCAGTTCAAGACAGTCCATGAAACTCTTATCTGTAACTAACAGCAAAAAGCTGAAAGTGGAACTATAGTTCAAGTAGTAGAGCACCAACCTTGAGTGGGAAAAGCTAAGTGATAGTGCCCAGGTTTTGAGTTCTAGACCTAGTACTGGCACACACGCACACACGCACACACGCACGCACACACGCACACACACACACACACACACACACAGATGAATGTGACTTGCACTAATGCCAACAAATGTTTCCCACTGACTTGCACATGAATGTAAAAGCAGGGACTAGAAAGACACAGACTTGAAAACAATTGTAAATATCAGTCACATGGTACTTTCCTCTAGTGATTTACCCCAGATTGAAACCCTGCCTTAGGATAGGACCCTACAAATTCTTGTTAAATCTTTTCTAGGCAAGATGATTAATTATTATCAGATTTAAGGAATAATATCAGAATTCTATTGCTGGCAGTGATGGAGACGGGGGAGGTTTTATAGAGATAGACCAATTGAGACTTCGACCCACAAGAAGGAATATAAGCTTCAAGACAGAGTTGTATCATGGGGTTTTGGACAGCCAGACTTATGGGAAAACTTTGATGGAAGGCAAGATTGTTCATGAGCTAAGAGATGGAGGTGCGACAGAAAGGAAATTCTAGGAGTTGGTGGAAGTTTTCCCAAACTAAAGTTTACTCTCTTTTTCTATCCAATTATGTAAAGGTTTTAGATGTGTCATGATATCAGATGTGTGAGGGAAACAGACAATTCTGCAAAGCTAATAATATGGAGATGTAATTATAATTAAGTGAAGGACAATCCTGGTTAGCCATGCTGGGCCCAGCTGGTTTGGGGGAGTGGTCTTAGTTGTTGTTGTTGTTGTTGTTGTTGATTACATGATGTCCTGCTGTAATGGAACTCTATGACTGCCTTGGCCTCCAGCCAATGTGCAGGGTGATTTTTCCCCCCTGTGCTTATAGCCTCTGGCACTGTCCTTCTACTGATACTATGTTTTAGGAATAACCTCAAATTTGGAGAAAGCGATATGATATAATGAACAAAACATCAGCCCTTGGGTTCGGACAGGCTAAAGTTTAATCCCAGAGCCACATTTATTGTCTGGGTAAGGGTGAATTTGTATTACAGATCTCTTTTGTGCTCTGTGTTTTTCAGCTACAAAATGAGAACATGAATGCAAGGATTAAATGAGATAACAAATGGGAGGCCTAAGCCCAGGCTAGGCACCCAATAAATGGAAGTCCTCCTTTCTTTTTTTAAAACATAATTTAGATTATGAACATAAAGTAACTCTGCACCAAGAGCTGAGTCTGTTTTCCAGGAAGGGAGCTCTTGGTGGCCCTTTGTTGTGACTGTTGATTGCACACATCTGGAAACTATGACAACCAGTTTGCTTTGAGTTCCAGTTGGCCCCAACACAGCTCTCTATAAGACAGCTTCCATCCTTCAGTTTTTCCCAACACATCATAGCTTGGCTAAAATGTGGGCAGAGGAGTGGGTGTCAAAAGAAATGCACAAAGTCTGGGGAGTACTCAGATTCAACTGGCAAACCTCCACAGTGCTCTCTGGCCCATTGGAGCCCTGTCCCCAGAGCTTTCATGGCTATCCTCTCATTGAAGAACTTTTAGGGAGATCTATGATAATAATACCTCCTTTGTAGATGCTTCCCATGAATCTGGGAGGTTAACTGACCTTCCCAAGGTCACAGAAATAATAAGGCATGGCCTTGGAAGAAGATCCCAGGCTTTTTGTCTAGGAGAAAGTAGAGCAAGAAGATGTGCAGCTGTATATCTGTACCATCTGCTTGCAAGACTCAACTTTGAGTTGATACTGTCAGGGGCAGATGCTCAAAGGTAGGGGAGCCAAGTGCCCAGGGAAGCTCCCTTGACCTTTAGAAATCCTATATACAAGCTCTCTGTCCACTGGGGCTTGTGGTGAGAAATCTAATTAAACATGTCATGTGGACCTGAGCCCGTAGTTCGGTGCTATATGCTTTCCTAACACATGTGAGGTTCAAGCCCCAGCACTGAGGGAAGTAGGGATATATTATTTAATCAATATCGGATCACAATTGATTTTAAGTTTCTAAAAAAAACTTGAAACATCATTTCATCTTTTGTGGTTTTCTTTTTTAAAAAATTTATTCTGAAGGTATTTTAGGACCAGCATTACTAGGCATTAATTAAGTGAATATTTATTAATCTACCTACAAATTGTCAAGTACTATTCTAGGTACTAAGGATTACACATATTCCTGTATAAAACTTCTTCCAAGTGCCATCTATTGTAATAGATTGAGTAATGATAGGTTGAGAATTTTATTTTGGCAAAGAACACTAAAAATTATAAGCCAGTTGCCTTTTTAAAAACTCTTTAAAACAATAAGAGCAGTTCTAATAGCAATTTCTTTGTAGTTTTACTTGGTAACTATTCTGTTTGTGCTCCCAAAGTCTTCCATTTCCCCCTATTTCTTGGCTTACCTCTTCATTTCCAAGAAGCAGTTTTGAGCCCCATATTATCTCTTCCTATGTCCACAAAGTAGGGCTTCTGTAACCACACATTGGGTTCTCCTCTTGGTGAGGACTACCAAGAAGATAAAAGAATGGATAGTTCTTACTTGGATCAAGTAAGGATATCATGGGGTTGTTTGCAAAGCAATTGCTCTCCTAAAACAAGAGGTCTGGGGAGTTTATTCTGTGAGTGTATATCTACTCATATAGAAAAGTACCTAGGGTGGGGGTGGGGGTATTTCTAAGCATGCCTAGTTTAGCTGATAGACTACTTGTTTAACAGAAAAAGGTGGTGGACATGAAACTTCTGGGTATACTTGATTTGACAGTAAATGAATGAAGCTTATTCTAAGTGACCTCCTAAGTTTCACCGAAGAATTTTAGCTCAAAAAGAGGAAAAAGGAGAGAGGAAAGAGGGAGAACTTTGAAGGTATACATTAGCAATCTTTTAAAGGCGTGTCAACTTTGTCTCCTGTAAGAGTTTGTCCATAAAGTTACCTTTCTTCCTCATTTAGTGGCTAACACTACCAGAGTATGTGTTTCAGTATAGCAAACTCTTGTTGGATGATAAGCAGAGTAAAATTTGTGTGTGTGTGTGTGTGTGTGTGTGTGTGTGTATCACCAGATTGCAATCCAAATCAAAAGCCTAGTGAATGAAATTAGGACCATTATTCAAGCGCAATTATACTGAGTACGTCAAATTGAAACCCTAGAAGTAAATCATACATTTGGATATTACATTTCATATTTCAGAACATGCCAGAAGTTTTAGTATGGTTGAGTATAATGTCAGGAGACAAACTTCCACAAATTTCTTGACATAACTTTTTCCATTTTTATCTGTTTTCCATTTATGTCGAGTGGAACGCATGGGGAGACTTTTAATATTCCCTTTTCCTTCTCCTTTTCCATATTTAATGCCAAGTGATCAAACTCAATCTTGATTACCTCAAATTTGCCCTTGAGTAACCTCAGACCAAGTATGTTTTCTTAATTAGATCGGAAAGGAGCGAAGCACTTCCAAATAAATCTATAAACCAGGCCTAGGGATGCACTGGAAAGAAGAGTAAGCGCCAGTGAATGATAGAAGACAAGCTGTCCTTGCCAGCTCAGGTATCTACTTGTAGAACGCGAGTAATGAACCAAGGGAACTGTAGATTATAACGTCAGTTAGAATCTGACAGATGTGGCTGGAAAGCTCAGGGACCCAATCCAGGGAAAGAATGGGTGAAGGGGATGGATGCTGGCGCCGAGGCCCCGCCCCGCCCCGTGTGATTGGCTAATGCACCGGCCCAGCCTTGGGAAGGGATGCAGGGAAGGGATGCAGACACTGAGGCTCCGCCCCATATTGCTGACTGACACACTGCAGGCCCAGCCCCAGGAAGGGATGCAGAGGGGGGTGGGGAAATGCAGGCGTCGAGGCACCGCCCCGTGTGATTGACAGAAGCACACTGCGCAAGCGCCGTGGCCGCAGCTAGTGCCGTTAAGGTACCAACCGCTAGGGAGGATGGCTTCCAGCTACAGGAAGTCAACCGCGGCGTCCTCCGCCAGCCAGAAGAGAAAGGTGGGTCCCAAGCCGGAGCTCACTGAAGATCAGAAGCAAGAAGTGCGGGAAGCCTTCGACCTCTTCGATGCCGACGGAAGTGGGACCATCGATGTGAAGGAGCTGAAGGTGGCCATGAGGGCGCTGGGCTTCGAACCCAGGAAAGAAGAGATGAAGAAAATGATCTCGGAGGTGGACAAGGAGGGCACGGGGAAGATCAGCTTCAACGACTTCCTGGCTGTGATGACGCAGAAGATGGCCGAGAAGGACACCAAGGAGGAAATCCTCAAGGCCTTCAGGCTCTTCGATGACGACGAAACGGGCAAGATCTCCTTCAAAAACCTGAAGCGCGTGGCCACGGAGCTGGGGGAGAACCTGACGGACGAGGAGCTGCAGGAGATGATCGACGAGGCGGACCGCGACGGCGACGGCGAGGTCAACGAGGACGAGTTCCTCAAGATCATGAAGAAGACCAACCTCTACTGAGGCGGTCTGGCTGGGCCTCCGGCGCCTGCTTCCTGGGGCGAAAAGGAACGAACGGACAAAGGGGCACCGGGAGAAGGGGCAAGCCATCGGTTTCCCCGCTTCTCCTTTTCCTCGTGGATTGATGTCTAGATCCATTATAAATTTTAGAGATACTTGTCACGTGCGTTCTGTTTTCTGATCGTTCTCAAGAGCAGATCTGGAAGATGGTTAACCCTCACGAAAAGGCCCCGAGGCTGGAGTCCACCCAACGCTGGGCTTTGCTCTGGTGGCCCATCCCTGAAGCTGAAGTGCAGGACCGCTTTGCAGGGGTTGGGGGAGGGAGGGGACAAACAGGAAATGTGGCTCCCTCGTTACCTCGTTGGTGGTTTTTTTGTTTTTTTTTTTTTTAAGGATCTTGCTTTATAGATCACTCCTTAAATTCAACTCAATATTCTAGCGTGATGGGGTGGAATCTGCCCAGCAAGTCACCCAAACCATTGCTTGTCACTTTACCGTATACTGGTTTGAAGGAGAACAGCCTGGCCACACAGGATCTTTTTTTTTTTAACCTCAGAAAAAAATACTGTTTTAAAGTATGGGCCTGCTGGGGGCATAGTGGCACACATGCCAGTAACCCCAGCCCTTTGGGAGACTGAGGCAGGAGGATCTCCAGTTCCATGCCTGTCACCAAAAAAAAAAAAGTATAGTCTTGCCTTTGGGAAGTGGTAAATTGTGCAAGGTAGACTATTTGCATGTGAAATCATGCAAATAGTGTTCCTTTAGTGATCCCAGTAAGGAATAAAAGGCATACCAAAAAACCTGTGTGGCTGTGTAGAGTTGGTATGGATGGGTCCCTGCTTTCTGTGATAGTTAATAACTGATAAAGAGGACAAGACCAAAGATGTATAAGGACATTACCCACAAAGTAAGAATGCCAATGCCTTACATCAGCGGAGGATCTGAAAGGGGTATCTCAATTTTATAGTAAGTCATAGGACATCATAGGTCCAACTCAAGATCATTACAGGGTTGGTTTCCATGGGAAACAAGACCCTACCCCTGAAATGTGAATGCAGGAAATTAAATCAACTGCACTTTGATCATATCTCCACACAGAAGAGGTATAAAGTCAAGACTGGGCAGAGAGATAGACCAAGTTATAGCCAAGGTCTCCACTGACCGATGGAGAGCTCCAGAGGTAGAGTAGCTGACCCTATGGATATATCTCAAGTTGGAACAACAAAGTAGGGCCTCTAAAACTTCTCACTGCTAGTCAGTAGGTATGACCTTGGGCAGGGTGGCCCCTCCTTAGCCAAAGGTAATCACTGGGAGGGAGAACCCAACTACACATTGTCACATGTCAACATTCTTTAAAAATAAAATAAAAGCTAGGTAATTAAGTACAATAACCAGAAAAATATTGCCTAAAATAGATAAGCTTCCTGATCCAGAATTGGCCATCCAGGACTAAGACAAGTTTGGGGACTCAATGGGGGAAAATATTTAAGATCTTTTGTGGCCCCCTTAGTGAGTTGTAGACTTGCAATCTATATTGGCTCCCTGGCTCTCCAGCTACCTCTTTCATCATTTGGCGTTTGTGAGCCTGAGGCCCAAAGAATCTGGCTTGTGCAGGCCTCTTGGCAGCTCTGTCAGGGCAGCTGCATCTGTGTGGGGTGTCTCTACACAAAGCACCCGGCCAGCCCACTGGCAGAGGCTGAAATCCAGCCATGACCCACCTTCTGAGCAACTGCTCAGAAGGATCTTTGCTTAGAACTGTTGGGGTCCACCCCCTTCCCACACACAACCCTTTTGTCTACCCAGAGAGGTACTCCCCCCCTTTTTTTTAATTTGCACAAGATATTGTTAATATGACTTGAGGTTTTGCATTGCAATTTTTTTGTATGCTTATGAGTGGCGAGATTTACCTAGCCCACAGTTTTGAAGGCTCAAGGGCATGGTACTGGCATTGGCTCCATTCTTGTTTACTTCACATCCTAGCAGGTAACAATAGCATCGGCGAGGGAGACCTACCGGTAGATGGGGGTGTGGTTCCCCAATATCCTTCCAAGTATTTAAGAGCCTCCCACTCACCCTGGGGCCCCATCTTCTACTAAAGGTTCAACCAGCTCCCAATAAGTCTACCTTGAGAACCAAGGCTTTCACACACAAGCCTTTGGAGAACACATAGCCAAACCACAGAGGACTGGCAAAGTTGGAAAATCCGAAATTTCACATAAATTTCCATGGTTTTGGCTTTTGAAAAACTAACTGTTCTTTGCACAGCAGGCCCATATTTTTGTCCTGACCATCACGTGCTTAGTTGGAGAGGAGCAGCCCCTACTGGCTTCACAAGCACACCCAGGGTCCCTGCAGGCCTGACCTTCCATGTCACCTGCAGCTCCAGCCCCACTCCAGTGACTTCCTGCCAGCACGTTGGCAATCGCGCCTCTAGGGGGCAGCATTTCTGCCTGTCATCTGAATGACAGGTGAGGGCTTTCTCTCCCTGCAACTCTCCATAAAGCCAGGGAAAGGTGCTCTCGGGTCAGGCAGCAACGCCCATCAGTGTTGGGTTTCCCTGGTTTAAGCAGAACAAGCCATTCCCTGTTCTCACTGGAGGAAAATGGAAATACTGTTAGCTCCCCCCAAAGCTGCCAGCAAAACCCAGGCAGCCTCCTGGCTATACCTATTTATTTCTTCTTTTTTTTCCAAAACAGCTAAGAGGAGGTGGAGGGTTCAAGAAAGCACGCCACCTGTATAAAACCATGGGCAAAAACAAAGCAAAAGCCAGGTGCCAGTGGCTCATGCCTGCAATCCTAGCTACTCAGGGGGCTGAGATCTGAGAATCATGATTGAAAGGGAGCTGGGCAGAAAAGTTCATGAGATCCTCACATTCAATTGACCAGAAAAACAATAGATTTGGAGCTGTGGCTCAGTGGTAGAGTGCTGGCCTTAAGCAAAAACAAACTTAGGGACAATGCCCAGGCCCTGAGTTCAAACTCTAGTACTGACATAAATAAATATATAAGAATATAACTAAACACAATAAAAAAGAATATAACTAAATACATAAAAATATAAATACATAAGTAAATAATCCAAATGTCCATGCCCAACCTACTAGATTACTGATTCCAGAAAACAGTCATGAGCCAAATGAATGCTACCCTGTCTCATAGGTCCTGGATTTTGAGTCTAATGAGGAGGAGGCTACTGACGCTATTTATGGTTACATAAGCTGATTAGTGAAGCTTAGCCTACTTGCGATGGACAAGTCTACCAGGGGAACTGATGCTGTCTTACTTGTTCTCTCCCTGGTACTTTTCCTCTGGAGATTACAAACAGATATGAAGAAGGCCACTCTCATCTGCCACATTCAAACCCATGATTTCCCAGCTCCCTTCTCAACACTGGTGCAAGTCCTCAGTGCCTGACAGCTACTAAGAAGAGATGAGCTGCTGTTACCTAATAAAAATGCCATAAATGCAGAATGATGAACTACCATGGGAAATGAATCCACAGAAAGGACACGCTGGAATGTGGGATAGTAAAAATCACTTAAACTTTGTGTGACCTTGCAGAAAGTCCTAGTGTTATATTTTTTTCCTGGTCCCTCAGATAATGCTATGCTTGCTTCCCAAGTCAAACTATCATGTGAGCTGAATTCAGCTGAATTCAGACTCTCTCTCTCTCTCTCATCACAAGGTAGCCTGAATTCTCTGCATCCAGCCTCCTTCTGACAGTATCCCCTAATGATTCAATTACTTCCATGGAGGCTGCTCACTTGTGGCCACAAGGACAGAAGTGCCCCTCTTTGATAATTGAGAACAGTGCTGAGCAGAGGGTCAGATCACCCTGGGGTGGTGTCCACCAAGAAAGTGGCTGTGACACCAAGTTCCTGGATGGTTTCTTACAGCTGGTCCTGATTTTCCATGGGCTCACCTTTAAATTAAAAGAATTTCTGTACTTTCAAGAATTTGAAAACAAAGCCATGTGTGAGATTCACCCATGTGCCCTTGCAAGAAATAGGTTGCATTCCTTGTTGTGCACCCTCCATCCCTCACCCCAGAATGTCATCTATGTAAATGTTCCTGAATTAATCTTTAGCATGTGCCCATGTTGTTTTGATTTACTAAACTTTAAAAAAATATGCCTATTGTTCTCTTTTAACAGCTTTTGGCAACTATTTCAGAAATTGAAATGCATTAGCAAAATGAGTACAATTAGCAAGTACTATCCAACAAATACTAGAGAGACAGCTATCCAATACACAGAGAGCAGGATTATAGTAGACTGTACAATGCCATAGACAGTTTCTTATTTAATTTCCTTCTTAATCAGTAAGATACAGGGAAATCATAGGAAAAAACAGATGATATCAGAACCGTATTTTTTCATGTCTGGGTTTTTTTTTTGGTTTTGTTGTTTTTTGTTTTGTCGGCCATGGGGCTTGAACTCATGGCCTAGGTGCTGTCTCTGAGATCTTTTGCTCAAGGCTCCTGCTCTACCACTTTGAACCACAGCTCCACTTCCAGTTTGGGAGTGGTTAATTGGAGATAAGAGTCTCATGGAGACTTTTCTGCCTGGGCTAGCTTTGAACCATGATCCTCAGCTCTCAGCCTTCTGAATAGCTAGCTTACAGGTGTGAGCCACTTGCATCTGGAATGTCTAACTATTTTTGTATTTACAGTGAGAATGCAATCTAATGTAAAGAACAGAGACGCTCATTAGGATATGGATTCTGTACTTATAATATTATGTATCGTAGTTAAACTTCTCTGATTTGTGTTTATCTGTTTTGGAGGGAGTAGGCACATGTTTGTGAACTCAGGCTGGTGAGCAGACAGACAAGTGCTGTGCCTCTGAAACATCCTCCTCAGCCCTGGTTTCTTTTCTAACAATGGGGTTTTATTAAGCCAGATGCTGGTAGCTCACATCTATAATCCTAGTTTCTCAGAAGGCTGAGATGTGAAGGATCACAATTTGAAGCTAGCTCAGACGGGAAAGTCCTCCAGACTCCATCT